AAGTAATTACTCTGCCTTAAGGGTACAAACATCAATTTACATTCAAGAGTGGGATGTGACAAACACTAAATACTACACAGAACAATGTAGTCTTACAAACCAGTTGCCTTATGCAGTAGCCATCCTCCACAAAGATTCTCCATTTTTGGAAATGTTTCAGTCAGGAGCTTTGAAATCTTAATAAAGTTTAGAGATATAACAGCAAGAACAGAGACCCATCACATAGACTGAATACTATTACAATATTTAAAATAAATCTAACAAAATGCCACTAACACATGGACTAATAACTGTACCTCTGTATGGTCACTGTCTTCAGGAAGAGAGACAGTTTTTCTACCCATGCCTGCTTGCAGGAGTTCAAGCTCCTCAGTTGGCAAAGGTGTGTGGGATGTGTTTTTTGGAAGCAGATAAAAATTCAGAGCGGTTATCTTGTTGGTTATCTTAAGCTGCTTGGTGGTGGTTAAGCACCTTTTTTTACCACGACTGAAATTTGACTTGAAATATCCTGGAAAAGATCTGTGGATAAAAACGTGAACACAAATCTAATCACAACCCTGAATTTAACAGGAATGGACACTTGCATTACTATATGCAAATGAAAATATGACCGAACCTAGGATACGAACCTTGTCATTCTCTTGCTGCACTGTTAGATTTCTAGGCTCTGTAGGGCCACTGTTGGGCTGCAGCGTTCTTGAACCATTTGCTGTCATACTGGTAATCAGCAGAGACACCAGGTTTCTGGCTGCTGACTCAAGTGCACCACATTCCTAGCATTAAACAGTGGTCATGATTAACATGTCTTCATTTGTAATAGCACAAGGTGACACTATACTGTACAACTATACATCCGCCGATATTTATGCTAATATTAACAGCATCAGACGTATGGGTAGCTAACTGGCTGGCTGCAATTCTTGGTAGCAGACTATATGAATTACTTTCTAAATGTAGTAGGCTGTCACGTTTAGTAAAAGTCAGCCAAATGATACATTATACTGTGAAACAAATAAAGAAATCATAACTTACTTGATGCTGTGTGTTTGTATTATTATTGGACTCCGCCATGTTAGAAGACGAGGCAGCTAGGCAGCCATTAGCCACAGTAGCACCTCGGTTTTCGGCTTGTCGTGATTGCAGAAACAGCCAATCAGGATGAAGGAACAGTTCTATCCTCTAATTGGCTGTTTTTTGGCACATTTGTAACGGTTGTACCAGAGAGTTGAACGAGCGTAGAAGGCGACCTGAGCACGCACAGAGGAGGTCCTCAGAGAGCGAGAGCAGAGATGCAGATTGTGAGAGGGCATAAATAGTTGAGCAAAAGCATTTTACTTATGCGTGCGCTCAAAAAAATATCCCGTGCTCAGAATGTCAGATGCGCGTGCTCAAAATGTCCCATTGCTCACTCAGGAAATTGGCACAAATATAACGCCATAGAGTATTCTGCTGACACACTGAATGCCTGAGGTATCTCTGTTTCCTGCACAAGCAACTGCAACATCAACAGTCCTTGAAAGTATCTCCTGTGAACCTCTCAGTGTTTTGCATGTCAGGAACTCTGTGAACACAGATGTGTGATTGTTCTCAGTGTACACTCCTTTATTTGACGTTATCCTCTGCCTTATATTGAATTGATTCTTTCTTATTCTTTGAGTCTCTATAACATGCCTCTCTGAGTGCTGTTGTAGACAATTCCTTTCTGCAGAAATAAATTACACAGAATACGTATCCATCTCTATTCTCTCTATTTCTCACTCACAGACAGTTGTTCATATATTCTACAGATTTAAGGAAAACACGATTGTTTTCCTTAACACAGTTCGTGAGGCTGCTTTCTGCATATCTTTTAAAACTGTTTGATGGGTTGTCTACTGTCAGTATTTCTGTTTGTGATGCTTTCTTAGCTTCCTCATCAGCTTTGTGGTTACCTTGTGATATGAGATCTGTCCCTTTAGTGTGTGCTGCACACTTGCAGATTGCTACCTTTTTTGGTAGCTGTAAGAGATTCTAAATCTCTGAGATCTCTGTGGTTGATTGGTTTACCTGTGGATGTCACCATGCCTCGATTTTTGCACTGTTGAGAATGCATATTAACTGTTAGTGTAGATATTGGCTGGTTTCCCTTCAGCTAGTTTGCATGCCTCTGTCAGTGCCACTAATTCTGCTGCTTGGGCTGAATATTGTTTTGGTAAAGGTTTTTCTACCAGTACAGTGTCATGTGTTACTACAGCAAACCTGGTTGCATTTGTTCCATCTGGGTTTTTCTTACTTGATCCATCTACAAACATAGTTACATCTGCATTTTCATAGGGTACATCAGTTAAATCGAGCCTAGGGAGAACTTTTTCTGCTATTTCTGATAAGCAGTCATGAGGTATCCCATCCAATGCTGTGGGTATGAGTGTGGCTGGGTTTAATGTTGTGCATATCTCAATGGTTAAGTGTGGTTGTGATAGCAAGACAGTCATGCATGAGAGATGTCTGGATGGTGACAAATAGGAGATTTTATCTTGTAATAGTATTACTGCCACCGCGTGAGGTACTTTTAGTGTTAAAGGATGAAACAGTACGATGGAGGCTGATGCTTGTACTGCCATAGATGCGGCAATGACAGCCTGCACACGAGGTGACAGGGCCCTAGCTACAGGGTCTAATTGGCTTGAAAAGTAGGCTATGGGTTTATTCCTCCCGCCGTGGCTCTGCATCAATACTGACATCATCTATCCTTCCTTACAGTCAACGGTTTTAACAAAGGGCTTAAATAGTTTGGAAATCCTAGTGTGGCGGAGCTCACTAACAGTTGTTTAGTCTGTGCGAAAGCTTTTTCCGCCTCCTCTGTCCAGGTGATTTGATCTGCTGGAGCTAACAGAACATCATATATTAGTGCCATTAATGGAGCTGTGATGGCTGCATAATTAGAAATCCAGCTCCTGAAAAAGTTTACCATACCCAAGAATGACATCATCTGTCTTTTGGTTCATGGCTTGGGTGCCTGTAAGATGGCAGTTTTTCTGGTCTCATCTAGATGTTTCCCCTCCTGTGAGAGGTTGTATCTTAGGTCTTTGACCGTTGTTTTCCATAACTGCAGCTTGCTTTGGTTTACTTTATGTCCCTGTTCAGCCAAGAATTTCAGTAAGGCTGGTGTGTCTATTTTGCAGCTTTTTTGATCTTTAGAAGCTATTAATATATCGTCCATGTACAACAGTACCTGGCTATCACATGGTGGAATGAATTTTGCAAAATTTGCAGACATTGCCTGGGAAAATATTGTCGGCGACTTGCAGTAACCTTGGGGAACCCGACTATGGGTGTAACGTTTCATTTTATAGGTGAATGTGAACCAGAATTGGCTGTCTGGATGCACAGGAATGGAGAAAAATGTGTTGCTGATGTCACATACAGAGAAGTATTTGTTTTCTGGTTTTAGGTCATTTAACAGCATGTGTGGGTCTGGCAGTGTTGGGGCTCTAGGAATAACAGCTTTGTTTACAGCTTGCAGGTCCTGTACCATCCTCCAGCCGGTGGAGGGTGGAGCCTTTTTTACATGAAATGATGGAGTGTTACATGGAGAGTCTGGACACTCAATTATCACCCCTGCTTTCAGTAAATCCTCAATGATGGGAGCTATCCATGCCTCTGCCTCAGGTTTTAAGGGATATTGTCTTTGGTGTGGATGAAATGAGGATTTTGTTGTGATCTTAACAGGTTCTATTCCCTTTATTAGCCCTGCATCTGCAGCTCTTTTTGACCAGAGTGTTTCAGGTTCATCTGTTAAGGATGCTTTGCCCTCTTCAGTTAGGGTCACATGTTTTGTCCCTTGTACCCCTGTAAGTGTACGGCAATTTTGGTTAGGGTCACCCATCGTAATGTAGATGCAAAGGCTTGTGGAGTCTCATTATACTCTGTTGTGCCATCTATTCTTTCCCAATCACAGGCTTCCTCACATGTAGTCACAAATATTCCTACATCTGCCCACTCCATGTGTTTTGGCTTTGCCAGTGATACATGAGGTGTCCTTGTAGAATGATAAAACCTTTTCATTTTTTGATTTAGCTCACAACTGACTCCTGTATGTTCTCTTTAATCCCAGTATAGGGTTTTGATTCTTAACTGACTTTGTTTTTCTCTCATGAAACAGTGTTCATATTCTGTGTCTGGTCCAGATGTGTACTTATAGTACATTGTGCAATGCAGGTCATTTGGGTTCATGAAATCAGAGTATGGTGCAACTTTTTGTCTAGCTTTCTCTATTAGGAATGCAGTGACAGATGCTGGTCTGGTGGTTATCAGATCTAAGCTGTACCAGTAATGTGATATCCTGTGATCTTCCACTACTGTTACTTCTTGTAGCCTTTATGCTCTGAGTCCATCCTCACAGGGAAGGATGGCTACTGTATATTCAGCGCTGTCAATAAATCTCTCCCTAAAAGGTTACAAAGACAGACATGAAATAACACCACTTGACATTTGCAACTTAGCCCTGTCTTTTTATCTATCACCTGCACTTGTTCAGATAGCTGTTCTTTATGCACCTTGCCATTTGCTGTTTTTTTTTTTAGATTGCATCCATAGATGAGGCTCCTGTGTCACATAAAAATTTCACTTGGTGTTGTCCAGTTGTCAGAGTAATTCTGGCATTCTGGTTGTGTCAGTTGGCCCTTAAAACCATATTTCTTTTCCCATTCTGTCAAGTATTTGATATTTTTTTGTTCTTTTGATTCATATATTTTGCATCTCCTGTCAATTCTGATGGAGGTTTCTTACAACAATTATTTCACATTTTGTGTTGTGATTCTCCCCACTCAACAGCCAGCCGGTTTGTATGGACCTCACCCGAGCAACAAGCCCAATCAGAGAAGGTGCCACTCTTGTTATCACCGTTAGGTTTCCACGGCCAGACAGCTTGTTGACACTGTGAGGTTACTACTGTCTGTTTGCTTCTCTGAGACACTGTTGAGCAACTACCAGTTACCACTATCTGTTTTACTTCTTTGAGTAACTACTACCTCCCCTCTCAACAGCCAGCCAGTTTGTATGGAATTCACCCGAGGAACCAGCCCAATCAGAGAAGGTGCCGCTGAGAAGGTGGCGGAGAATTCTAGCATTGACGACCCCTTCACCAGCTTCCTAGAATCATGGTTCGGACAATGGGGTGACCTGATCGCCTCTGTGCAGCCCTGCTGGTTGTATGTGGCTGTTGTTACATTCCCTGTCTGTGAGGACTGATGTAGAGACTGATAGACACTGCTCTGACTAAGACCATGTACCAACAAGTCTGTGACAAAGATGGAGGAGAAGGAGATCTCCATGAACCGGACAATTGGGTTTGGTAAATGGTAAATGGTCTTATATTTGTATAGCGCCTTTCTATGCTTTACAGCACACTCAAAGCGCTTTCACACTATTTGGCCATTCACCCATTTGCACTCCCAAACACACACACATTCACACATCGGTGACATCACTGGGAGCAACTGGGGGTACAGTGTCTTGCTCAAGGACACTTCGACATGTTGACTGGACAAGCCGGGAATCGACCTGCTAATCTTCCAGTTAGGAAACGAGCCGCTCTACCTCCTGAGCCACAACCGCCACCGATTTGAAAAGAGACTTTCCTGATTCTGATCTGAGTGAACCATGCATGGCTTGTTTTAATAAAAACCTGAAAGGGGGTGTTTAGACAATGAGATCCTGGGATGAACAAGATTAAGAATTATGCTGTAAATAATGTGTTTCTAAAAGTTTAAACAGGAGGGAAATGTTATAAAAATTACGTTATTAAACATGATTTATGCTATTTAATATGTTTTAAACTTTCAAAACAGAGCCATGTGAGAAACTGACTGTGTAAGCCTGAAGGACATTTCCTATCTTTCATGTGAAACTCTGTGAGCTGTGATACACTCGGCTACAGAATGTTCCAGACTAAGTGAGACACAAGTGTCAACTGCAGGATAAATGTGTTCCAGTATGATTAGCTTCTAGGTCGCGCAATCAGGGTGTGTCTTTTTATTATATATTATGTTGTGTGAAACTGTCTTACTCAGACAACTCTGTACCATTGTGCTGACTTGTCTCCTTGCTGCAAGAAAGTAAACTGTTCAAACATGTCTCCA